TTCTTCCTTCCTTCCTTCCTTCCTTCCTTCCTTTCTTTCTTTCTTTCTTTCTTTCTTTCTTTCTTTCCTTCTTTCTTTCTTTCTTTCTTTCTTTCTTTCTTTCTTTCTTTCTTTCTTTCTTTCTTTCTTTCTTTCTTTCTTTCTTTCTTTCTTTCTTTCTTTTCTTTCTTTCTTTCTTTCCTAAATATTTTTATAACTGTATTTCAACAAAAATAATTTCTTTTGCAATCCTACAGACTTTATTTTATTTATTCAAAAAATAATTTTGAGAAGGTATCCATAGAGCTTACCTGACTACCAAAAAGGTCCATGACACAGTAAAGTTTAAGAACCCTTGGATAGTTCATGATAACACACAAATGTTGTTTAACATAAAAGAATTAGTTTCTAGACCAGAATTTGAGAGTATGTGAAGGAGTCCCACATCTATTGAGTCTTTGGTTTAAAAACAGTATTATCAGCAGCAACTACAACCATCACAACCACCACCATTAGGTAGGGTGCTCATTACTTGCTGCTAAAACTTTGAAATGAATGCAGGAAGAAATTATTTTCAACTTTTAACTTAATAAAATCATTATGTTATGTCTCAACATTAAAAATGTTGAGCTAATGGGTCCAAATTTATATTTTAAAACAGCATTTTTCCACTTGGTATGTCTGTTCACTCCCAAATGAATTTCTCCTTGGAAATTCTCAAAGCCAGTGGATAATTTATCAATGATGAGGAGCCAGTCATATGATTTGGAGATAGATTAATCCAACTCATGAAATCTACCCTTTTTCCTAATCCTACTAGACAAGCTTCAGCCAAGGCCACCTTCTCCTTCTATAAAAATATTCTATCAGGCATGACAAGTTCTTTTAGATAATTGTTGATTGACTCCCCTTTCTCTCCTCCTCACTTATCCAGCGAACTCACTCATATCTTTGGCTCTTGGATCTCTTGGGCTGGTCAATATATTTTCTTTGGAATCTTGATGGCATTAGAAAAGGTTGGGAGAAACACTGGAATAGGGCAGCTAGTGCTTTCTTGGATTCTCCTAGGCAATGAAACTAGTCAAAATTCATTTCATATCTATCACTTGTTGAAGACCATCCCCAAGTTTCATACTTTCTTTCCTCTTCCCTTTTTCTGTCTGAAATAACTTAGCTCATTTATTTTTATAACTGTAGCATATGGGAAAACCCAGGCATTTGTATTGTATTTTAAACAAAGTAAGTGAATTTACTTCCTATTTTCTCTTTTTTGTTTTGTTTTGTATTGTTTTGTTTCTGTTCTCCCCCTTCCGTCGGGTCCTGGGGTGTTCACTGCACACCAACACAGCAATTCCATCCCATGCTCTTTTGGAAGCAGCATCAATGGAATTGCCTTGCGCTTTTTAGAAAACCTGAACTTTTGAAAAATGTCTTAGGTGGGAGAGAGAATGAGGAGTCTGTCAAGGTGGCTATAGAAGTTCAAATCTACCAACTGAGACTTTTCCGGAGATCTTTTCAAAATAATTTTTTCTTGGATTGAGTTAAATTGATTTCTGGTACATTAATCATAAGAAACTTATGTTGTTCACTAACCTGTCATATCTCAAATACCTGTTTCTGTATAATTCAATTCATCATTCATCTTTCCCCTACCCTTAACTCCAGTCCCTCCTATCTTCTTATCTTCTCTTTGTCTATTGAGGGCACTACCATCCTTTCAATCACCCAAGGTCATGACCTTGGAGTCATCCTTGCTTCTTTCCTTTCTCATTCCTCACATTCATTCAGTTACCAAGTCTTGTTGATTCTACTTACATGATATCTCTTACATGCATTTCCACCTTTCCATTCATATAGCTGCTCTTTGTATTCAGGCTCTCATCTCCTCTTGGCTGCACTGTAGCAATATTGTCCTAATTGGTCTCCCTGCCTCTTCTTTCCAATCCATTCTCTACACCAAAATGATATTCTGAAAGAATAGGAATGAATGAATGGATGGATGGATGGATGACAAAGTTCTTGCTCTCAAGGAGCTTACATTCTAATGAGGGAAACAATACATATATAAGTTTTGAGCTGCAAGTCAGATGAAAAGTTAGGATACAACAGCAAAAAAGAAGGTAATGCCTCTTCTTTAATGTCATTTCCACTGATAAAATAACAAGAAGTTTTGATGTTGAGCTATTTTATAGTGCCAAATACTTGGATTGCAAGACCTTTCTTTTATGGTTCTTCAGGAGCTGTGGCTGTAGCACCTTTACAAGCAGTTGTCAGTGTGCATCTCCCCAGGCTGGTGCCATTCCTGGGGCTCTTGGGCATATCTGCCAGCTAGTAGCAATTGATCAATAGTTAGTGTTGATTATGGTGAAGTCGGTGATGGCTACAGGACTAAGAGTGGAAACAGGTCAGAGGTCTAGGGGACTCTGTTATTTTCAAGTTTAGGGTCCCAGGCTATCTGGCCAAATAGCAGAGTGAAGTTGAAGGTGGTGGAGACTACAGTTGAGAAATGAAGCCACACACCTACCTCAGCAGAGGCAGGCCTGGGTAACCTCATAGAGTGATCCCATGTCCATTGAGGAGCAGCTCAAAGACCTCACAAGAAGGCACTGTACTCCACTCCACATATATTCCCCAGGTTGGTTCTTCATGTGTTGTCTTTATACTTGTTCATCCTTCCATAAAAGGTGTGTTTGTTTACTGGAGGACATGTCCTAGGTTTTTAGAGAAATGCTCTAATGTAAATTTTCTTACTATGCTACTTCAGTAAATGCTTTTGGAATAGACTAATTGTCTTCTCTGGCTAAGTACTTGAATATAAACACATCGGTGAGGACTAATGAACTACAAGGTTAGGGATCTGCCAAATAATTTGAATTGAGGGTAGTTTTCCTTTAGGGAATCCAATCTGTGTGTACAATTTGGGGGAATAACCAAGAGGGGTGCTATATATTGAAAGTAGATACAAAGCGATTTTAGGGTGGGAGCAAGAACTGATAACGGAACACATTTAGTCTGACCTGGATGATGGCACGTGAGCCATTGAAGGGAACAAGGGCTTCCAATAAATGGAAACCCCTTGTATGTGACTCAAACCCAGAGGCCCTCTCCCGGGGCGGGGGTGGGTGATAATGGTTTAAATTAGTCACAGAATCTGTAATCTTCCTGATTCATAGAGCCAACCCCTGGGAAGCATTGAATAGTTATTATTTAGCCTCTTCAATTTTGCTTTGTCTTATGACTCCCACAACTTTGCTACTGTTGCCCAACCTCCAAATACAGATGCTCTCTACCTCAGACAGACAACACGATGCCATGGAAATAGCATTAAGCTTGACATCAGAAAATCTGGTTTTGGTTCATAGTTCTCCGAGAACTAGCTGTGTGATTTGGGGCAAGTGACTTATTCTCTCTGAGCTTCAATCTTCTCCTCTATAAAATGGGACTACTAAAACTTTGGTCCCTACCTCATAGTGGTGTATTGTGAAGAAGGAATAAAATAATGGGTGCAAAAGCATTTTGGAAGCAGTAAAACCCTATTTAGAGGTCAGCTACTATTGTTATTCTCTTTTCCTACCGCATCCTGAGATGTGTTTGCTTCTGACATGTATTTGAAGCAATGCCTGTAAAGTCTAAACTGCAGGATATTTTAAAGAAATGTAGCTTTATTATTAGTTTTGCATTTTTCAGCTGCTTCATTTTTGTGATGTGCCTGCCCTCTCCTTGCTCATGTCCACACATCCCACTGGGATTGTAAACTTCCCTAAAGCAGGGTCTAAGACATAACTTCTTAATCTAGGGTCCATGAACTTCTTTCAAAAATATATTTGGATAGTTGTTTCAATATAATTGGCTTCCTTTGTAATCTTATGTATTTATGTGATGCATTGATAAATCTTCTATTGAGAAGGGGCTCATAAAGTTTACTAGACTGCTAGAGAGATTTATGACACGTGAAAAAGGTTGAGAACCCCTGGTCTAAGAGATTTACCTTCAGTTGTACCTAACACAGCACTATTATCACTATGTTTAATAAAGGGGTATGTGGGCTTGTATGTTTGGTTTTTAATAGTAATAATTGGAGATGTATGTGTGGGATTCACAAAGGAATGAGTACCATCTTCACTACATGTGGTTCCCCTTCCCAAAGCTATCTTTGTGTTAGTGGTAACATTAACATTCAGGTATTAAAAAAAGGATATGTATGCATCCTGCAAAGCCCTGGAAAATGACAACCACCAAAGCCCCTGTCACCCATCCTATAGTCATTAAGAAAGGGAAAGGAATCATGACATTCATAATTTATAGTCTCACTCTAACACAAAATTGTTTAACATCACCTATAACTCATGCTCCTTATGAACTGTTTCGTAACGCAGGGTAATTATGTGGAGTCCTGGTAGGCAGGAGAATGGATATGGAGAACAGCAGGATTACAGATCTTCCATCTTCTTTCAACAGGACATGCATATAATCAGCACAGATGAGAACCAGGTGTTTGCAGCGGTTCAAGAGTGGAACCAAAATGATACGTATAACCTTTACATCTCTGACACACGTGGCGTCTACTTCACCTTGGCCCTGGAGAATGTCAAGAGTAGTCGGGGTCTAGAGGGCAATATCATCATTGACCTATATGAGGTATGTAACCAAGGTTATCCTTTGGAATCATCTGTCCACTCTAGGAGACACCATTACAAAGAATATTGTAGAGTCATTGCCTGGCTCTGGTGTCCTTTCCTGTTATTGAATATACTTGATTGCCTGAAGCAGGAGGAGGGGACTGGTCCCAATTATCTCATATGATCTAGAGCTAGAAGGAACTATAGAGATTATTTCATCAGTTTCCTTGTTTGATAGAAAATTGGGACCAAAACAAATGTAAAAGACTTTCTCAGGGTCTCACAGATAGTAAATAGTAGAGCCAGGATTTGAACTCATATGCTCTGATTGTAAATACAGTGCCCTAGCCCATCCATACACCGTGACTGATGAAAATCCTTTAGGATTCTCCCATGGGGCTTCTTAGGCTGAGGTAGTGGTGCTGTGCATGTATCTGACATCCTCAAAGTAACCTTGCTGCAGAGATGGGGCCATGTTGGCTACTCCATACCTGAAATTGACAGGATCATGACTTAATTTGGTACAATCCTATCCTGGGGTAGGAGAGATGGGAATGGATGAAGAGGCAGTTCATAAAGAGACATGAATTAAATTTATAATATGTTTCTTTTTCTTTTCTTTAAGTTTTACTATTTGTCTAAAAGTAAAAAAGGAAAAAATTGAAAAAAAAGAGAGATGAAAAATGGAGTGCATAAAATGAAAAAAAAATCCATTAATTCCCTTCTCCCTCTCTAAAAGTCACCTGGCATATGTTATAACATACAACTGAAAGGAAATGTCCTGGTTGAGAAAAGCCAAGCTCTTTGGATGGCGTGATTACTCTGTAATGCCATAATGCTTATGAAGAATTTTGCTGGGGTTTGCAGAGGCTAACATTCCCCAGAGTTCCTTAAGTCATCCAGATGAGAGACATCAATGTCAGAGTTGTTGTGTTTCTTAATTTTTTGACCTAGCTTAGCCTTGGATTATTATGATAATGATTTTTGGGTCCCAGATCCTATCATGTCCTCTCTTTTTTTAACCTGGGCTCTGATAAGGAGGCATCAATGAGGTTACCTTTGGTATAGTTTTTTTTTTTTTCCCTGTTAGAATTTCAGGAAGAAAAAAAGTAGAAAATATCCCCAAGTGATTTTTAATCCCAGAAATTCAATTTTATTCAACTGAATTAATCCAGTACAACAAACACTGAACTCTTACTACGTTCAGGAGCCTTGTGCTAGGTTTTGCAAAACATATTGAAGATGACTAAGGCAAGGTCACTACCCTAATAGGGAAGATGAGACATACAACCACCTAATTCTCTACAACAAAAGTAAAGATGTCCTTAAGGGTAATAGGGAGAGAACTAACAAATACCAATGATAATAATAATATCTGATATTTACATGTCAATTTTGAGGTTTGCAAAGCACTTTGGCCACATTCTCTCATTCAACACTAACAAAAGATCTGTGAGGCTTGGAGTGTTTTTTACTCCCATTTAACAAATGAAGTGAGGTTCACAGAGGTTGTGGCTTGCCCAGGGTCATACATTTTACTAAGTGTTAGAGGCAGGATACAAACTCAATTCTCTTCTGATTTTAAGTTTGATTTTTTTCCTCCTTTGCATTGCCATCTTCAAAGAAGGGAACAAACATATATCATTTCTGCAGTGAGAAGGCTGGGAGAAGGGGAATAGATCAGGGAAGGCTTCATGGAGGAAGTGGCACTTGAGAATACATCTACCCTTGACCCTTCTAATGAGCTAAGTAGGTTTGCTGCTCTCAATCATTCAACTTCCAGTGAAGGGAAGTGAGAGGATTTCTTGGTCATTTAGAACAGTGAGATGCATTGATCTGAAGTGGGGCATGAATCAAAATGAAATATGAGTCAAGAAGTGCACTTTTCCCCCCTTTCTTACTAATATATACTTTCTGTCTTTGGGAGAAAAGTATATAATGTCACTGCAACTACAAAGTGTGGGTAAAACACTGAACTTGTCCAAGATTCTGGCAGTTTGTTTAAAACACGACCTGCTTGATGCGATGTTGCTATAGGAAAGTCTCATTTCTAATTCAATTTAATGACTGTCTCTTAAGAATATGCTATGTGCCCAACACTTTGGAAGAGACCAAGAAACATATAGCCTAATTGGAGAGAATAATAACAATAATAATAATTCACATTTATATAGTACTTTCAGGTTTGCAAAGTGTGTGAAACTAATGAAAGCTTGCACATATCAGCTTATTTGATTTTTAGAACAACCCTGTAAGGTGGATGCTATTAATTATTTCCCTCATTTTACAAGTGAAGAAACTGAGGCTTATGAGAGTGTCTTGCTCAGGGTCCCATAGATTTAAGTTTCTAGAGGAAGTATCTGAACCCAAGGCTTCCTGAATCCATTTCTAGGCACATGAAACAGATGATTCATGTAGATGATGCAGCAATTTGGACAAGTAAGGGTAATGAGGAAAGACTTGAAGGAAGAGATGGGTATTGAGTTGTGTCTTGAAGAATGAGTAAGCTTTAGATAAGCAGAAATTAGGATAGAAATATTCTAGAGTGAGGATATGGGAAATACAAAGAATTTAAAAGCTCAAATGAAAGAACAGATTTAGAAATGAACAGGATATTTTTAGAGGACAGTGAGGATAATAGTCTGATTAGAGAGAGGCAACTCCAGGGAAGACCAGGATATAAAGATGGAAAGTTAGGTATAGGACAGATAGCAGAGAACTAGGCAGAAGCATTTGGACCTGGGCCATGAGGAAGTTTTTGAGCAAGTGACACTAGCTTGCATTTAAGGGAAGTCCTCTTTCCTTGTTATTAAGTCATTTTTCAGTCATTTCTGATTCTTCATGACCCCATTTTGAGTTTTCTTGGAAAAGACATGAAAGTGGTTTGCCATTTCCTTCTCCAGCTCATTTTACAGATGAGGGACTGAGGCAAACAGGGTGAAGTGACTTGCCCAGAATCACACAGCTAGTAAGTGTCTGAGGCTATAATTGAACACACAAGGATGAGTCTTCCTGATAGAGCCCAGTGCTCTAACCACTGTACCACCTAGTGGTTCTTCCTTTAGATTAGTTAAGCCTAAATAGTTCTATGACTGTGGCCTCAGGCCCTAGGATTGTGTACTGTCCAACAATGTAGGGTGGGGGAAAACTCTTTTTGGGTCCTTAGTTTGGGGTACGTTATGTCTATGGAAGGATATGCTTCAGGAAATGCAGTCCTTTTACCTTAAAAGGACTCAAAGTAGACCATTTTAGAACCTTGGGCCAGGGTGTGCTAGGCCTCTTTTGTAACTTTCTCTTGCTGTCAAGGTCAATGAAACAATGCCAGTCATATAGAGACTTAGACTGACGTAAGACAAGGCGATAAAACTGATATATTACTCCATCTTCCACGTGAAGCACCTCAGAAGCAGACATTGGTAGCACTCTGATTAGCATCACAAGGCAGATGGGGGCTAGGGTTAGGGAGGGTCTATTGAATAATTTTTCAAGACAACTTTTGGTACTCAATGAGGCTGCCTGCCAGAAGGGTCAGCCTCATCAGACTCTATACATAGCCAGCTAGGTGGCACAGTGTACACAGAACTGGACCTAGAGTCAGGAAGATCTGAGTTCAAATCAGTTTTAGACAACTTTACTAGCTGGGTGACCTTGAGCAAATCATTTAATCTGTTTGCCTCAGTTTCCTAAAATGTAAAATGAGGATAATAACAGAAAGCTACCACCTGAGTTCATTGTGACGATCAAATGAGATAATAATTGTAATGCTCTAAGCACAGTGCATGGTAGGTACTACAAAATGTTTATTCCTTTCTCTTCCCTCTTCCCAAGAGGTGTGCAGGAGAGCAAGTAAGCCAGACTCTGTTATGTTGTTTGCCTGACATTCTAGCTCTTCCTTGATGAGAGAGAAATTCTCCCTCTAGTCTCTGTATGGGAGCAAGTTATTTTTTTCTTCCTGTAATTAAATAATCAGGAGAGATAATAAGACTTCAAGGCCATATAATTCATCTTGTCTTTGAGGTGTCAGAAGTCCATGTGATGTTGGATGGGACTGATTTAAGTAGTTAAAGTTGTCAATTATAGATTCATGTCATTGTGAAGGCAGGAGAAGAGCTCTTTTAGTCCATCAATGTCCATCCTTCCCCAGTCCAGGGCAGGACCTGAGATTTGAGCCTCTCCCCAGAGCAGCATGAGAAGGTGGCCAAGTGAGTCAGCACTTTCATTAGCTCTTTCTAAAATCCTGGTGATTTTCAAACGGAGATCCCTGGCAGCCATAGTTTCTTCAGCGGGTAAGGTGTGCAGCCGCCACTCATTCTACTCCAATTGTGCATCTTGATGAGCCCCTCAAACTTAGCCCTAACCTATCTTTTGTGCTAACCTATCTCATTATACATTTTCCCCTTCCTACACTCTGCAATCCAACCAACTGGCCTTATCTCTATTCTTTACATGTGATGTTCCCCCTGCCATTTCTCAGCATTTGTACTGGTTGTCCCATGCTTGGAATGCATTCCTTCCTCACCTTCTCCCTCACAGAATTCTTTTCTTCCTTCAGGGTTCAACTCTCAAGAAACACCATCTACATGAACTCTTTCCTGATCTCCCCCCTCTCACACTTCCTAGTATTTCTCTACACTACTGTGTGTATTTGGGTTTCTTTGCTTTAAATTTATTCTGTATATACTTTTATATGCCCTTGTTGTCTCCTCCATTAGAATATAAGCTCCTCACAAGTAGGGACAGTTTCATTTATTGTATTTGGAGCCCTAGCACCGAGGACATAGTGCATAAAATAAGTGCTCATTGATTGATTGTTGTTCAGTTGTGTTTGACTTTTTGTGACCCCATTTGGAGTCTTCTTGGCAAAGATGCTGGAGTGGTTAGCCATTTCCTTCTTCAGCTCATTTTACAGATAAGGAAACTGAGGCAAACAGGATTAAATGACTTGCCCAGGGTAACACAGCTGGTGTCTTAGCTTATATTTGAACTCATGAAGATGAGTCTTCCGGATTCCAAGCCCAGTGCTCTATCCACTGTGCCACCTAGTGGTCCTAATTGATTGATTGGAGGGAAGTATTGTCATCTGTACTGGTTGAGGGAATCCTCCACCAACAAAACCTCAGATCCTTAAATGATTGAGGTGAAGCATTGTTTTACAAATTTTACTTATAACAGTTTATGAAGTGGCATTATTATTATTTTACAGGTGAGGCTTGGAGGGGTTAAGTAGCTTGTCTATGGTCAGCCAGAAAATACAAGGTGTCAGACATAGGTCTCAAACCTCACAGAGAGATACTAACATATATCCTAGATATTTTTTCTAGGTACTCTAACATATATCTCAACGTGGGGTCTTTTCTCAGATATTACTCATTGGAAGACATAATTTTCAAAGCCACAGGCTATGCTATTTGGAGGCATGCATTTTAGAGCTGGTCTGACTCATTTGCTTCAAGGATGACTTAGATAGATATACCATGTGAGCCATGGTGTCCAATATCTACTGCATGGCATAAAGGAAAGAGCACAGGATTTGGAGTCAGAGGGACCTGGGTTAGATTTTGTTATTTAATATTCTGTTATTTAATATTCTATTATTTAATACTCTAATGATTTAGGGCAAGTTATTTAAGCCTCTGGCCTTCATAAGATCCTAGATTTAAAGCTTGAAAGGTTCTCAGAGTTCATCTAGTCTAACCTCCTCATTTTACAGATGAGGAAACTGAGCCTCAGAAAGGTAAAGTAATTTGCCCAAGGTTATACAGGTAGTCTGGTAGTTAATCCATGATTTAAACCCAGGTTCTCTCAACTTTCTATCTAGCATTCCACTATAGCATACTGTCTCAGTTTTCTCATCTATAAAATAAGGGGGCTGGACCAGATTAAATCTATTTGATTTAGTTAGACAATGGTAATACCTTTGCATTGTCCCCATTTTCTTTCATGTCGCTTCTCTCTAATGTCTTTTTGTCCTTGAATCTCCCTGACTAAATACCTGTCCTCCTTTCTCCCTGAATCCTCTAACCCTGGTTAAAAGCCAGATGGGCAGCTGCTGGCAAGCTAAAACCAGGACCCACTATGTGAAAATGACTATTTCATCCCTTTCACCTATTCCTCATCAGAGTCTGTGCTAGAGGAAGCATCCCCAGGGTACACAATAGTAATTGAATTTCTCTGCTGGATCCAGACCTCCTTGTTGTGGGAGGTGAGGGACAGATGCCTGTGCCACCTGGAAATGGTGGCCTCAAGCAAGTGGCCACTTGTCAGATACGATGCCCAAGAGGGCAAAGTTTCCAAGGGAAGTGGATGATCATATCACAGTGCCATGTTCTCCTTGGCAGCATCCCTGATCTTCCGCCCTCTCCCTGGGGGTGTTGGCTTTTAGCAGCAGACATATTTGTTCATTATAACGTAGCAAAAAGGGCACTAGTTTCTGGAGTCAAAGGATCTGAGGTTTAAATCCCACCTGGGACACTTTACCAATTATTTGACATTGAACAAGTCACTTGACCTTGCTTTGCCTCAGTTTCCTCTTTTATAAAATTTTGGCATTAGATTACATGCCCTCTAAAATTCTTTCTAATTCTTGACCTAGGATCTTGGTTTTCCAAAGCTGTTTACTAAGGGGAAAGAGTCACATTTAATTCAATTTTATCTGTAAAACACTTCTTTCCACTATCTCAGTATCTATCTCGATAGAAAAAGTCAGTGGGTTTGTTGATCCATATCTTCTCTGCTACTCAGAAAATGGATATCTGGTATAGAAATTTCCCCTACCAGCCAACTGTTCTACTTTAATACAGGAAATCTGGGGCTTCTAGAAAATTCTAGACAATTCCTTGAGATTACAAAGGTTACATTAAAGTCGAAAATCAAGAAGAGATTGATTAACAAAAAACAAAAAACAGTCAAAGATACACATGTGGTGATAAATCATGGTGATACATAACTTTAAGGTTGATGGGATGAGATATAGCTATTGTAACTGACAAAGCTATTCTGAAAAATAATGTTTAATTTTACCTGGTCATATGAAATGGTTATTAATATCTCTGGAATGAGAAGGAAGCAACAGTGACTTAAGCTCATGGTAATTTTGCATATTGACCTGACATCTCAGAAATGGGACCATTTGGTTTGGGGAAAAGAGTTGGCAGATGGGAAATTCATTTATCTACAATGTACCAGTTGTCTGGTTTCAGAGAAGGTATGAGGGGCTTGACAAACCACACACCTCAGACCAAGAGCAATATCAGGGAATTATGGGCTGGGATACTCTGCCTTGGCTGGCAGAGGGAGGAAGGAAAACTGGTCTCCTTTTCTGCTACAGTTAAAGACATGAAAAACTACAGAGGCCTTTGTGCCCTGATGGTCTGTGCCAACTAACAAGAATATTCCTCTTCCTGAAGTTATTGGGAAGTCTTCTCCATATGATAAACCAAGTTGACTCACCAGGGTGGATGACTGGTAGAAAAGGCTTCTCCTGACAGTGCTCCCATCTTTTTATGTCTTCTCCAGGCATCTCTCTCCCTTCTCATCCTTACCCTTTTTTTATTTTTCTACTAAGACACTTAATTAATTAAGTTGTTGGCCATTTTCCAAACCTTCCAAATTGGGTCTCTTCCAGATAAACTCTGTCTTCTCCTTGATGTTTTTTTGTTAATCTTTTATCTGAATTGGCAGCTTCTTCTCTGGGCCAGTGAAATTTCTGTTAAAAAAAAAAACCTTCTTTTTCATTAACTAAATGAATACATTGTGATTTCTGAATCTGAAGAGCACTTTCTTCTTGTACCCAAGCAACTCATTTCACAGCTACCATGGAACCTGGGCCTCTACCAGGCTTGGGAAAAAGATTGGCTTGATTCTAGTTCTCTCTCCTGCTTATGCCTTCCTTCTGAACTTAGCTTCCGGCTGCTTTGTCTATAACTTGTATGTACATAGTTATTTACATTTGACTCCACCATTAGAAAGGAAACCCCCTGACAACCTCGATTTTGTGCATTTTTGTATCCACTGTGCTTAGGATAGTGCTTGGTAGGTACTCAGCTGTCCGACTGCTCTTCCTAAAATTCAGGTCTGTCCCCATACATAATTCAATAAACTTTAGTAGCAAATAGGCCACTAAAAATAATTTTTCCTTTCCCTAAGTGAAATGGAGGATTAGGGAGATAAAATCACTTGCTATAATAGATAAAGGCTATTTTTTGTGGGGATAGGGGAGACTCTTGATTTCCCCATCATGTTTTCTTTCTTTGAAAAATAAGTACTAGCTTTGTGAATAACTAGAGCAAATAAGCAGATCACCGTGGTCTGATTTATGGATGTTGGTTCTGAAATACCTCCTGCATTGCCATTTCGGTGCCAATTCTCCATTAAGGATTCCTTCCTTTCTGTTTTGAGGTTTTCCTATCTACAGTAGCCACCTTATCAGCCAACAGCTATTTCAGAGAAGAGGTGACCCCTTAAACCTTTATCAGTTAACACCTTAGCTGAAATTAGTTGACAGTCACCTGAGCAAGTACTTCTGGGAACTAGGGCAGACAGGGTAATAGAAAGACTCTGAAAAGGGAGGGTGCTCCCTTTTTGTGGAGACAAACTCCACTGCCCTTTGAGTTTTTGCTGAGGGGCTCCTCTCTATAAAATAGGCCCCTTGAGGTGTCTTTTTCCTTCCTTCAAACACCTTCATGTGACTGGGCTGTGTGGTCCTCTTGAAGGAGAGATAAGTTGGGAGTCCAGATATTTGGATTCTTGACCCCATTGTCACTATTTTGGTGTCCTTGAGCATGTTACTTCTCTCTGGACCTCAGTTTGTCCATTTGTAAAATGAAGAGATTGAATTAGATGATGTCTAATGTGCCTTCCCACTCTGAAATGAATAAAGTATGTGTTGAATGTTTTTGTGATTCATGAAGTCTTGGCTGCTAGCTCCCTTCCCCAATTGAATTTCTTCTTCTTCTTTCTCTCTCTACTTATCCTAGGTAGCAGGCATCAAAGGGATATTCCTGGCCAACAAAAAGGTGGATGACCAAGTGAAGACTTACATCACTTACAACAAAGGCAGGGATTGGCGGCTGCTGCAGCCTCCAGACACTGATCTGAGAGGGAGCCCCGTCAACTGTTTGTTGGTCAGTCTTACGGCATTTAGTGGGTTCTTTTCTGAAGGCCACTAGATGAGTTGATTAGTGCCAAGGGCTACTGCTTATGGAGGCATCTGTTGGCAAAGATTACCCATATACTCAGTCAGGTTTGTTCAGAAATCTATAGATTCTTTGGAGAAATCCCGGGAACCCCAGCTTTCATCCTTATGTAACATAAAAGTCAGGATGGGCAGTCCCTAAGTCTTTCATAATTTGTGTGAATCTATCAGTCAGCAAGGAGTCACTCAGTTCATAGCAGAGAAACTGAGTGTCTACCTACTATGTGCTGGTCCCTACACTTGGTGCTAAGTAGGACTCAAGAATGAATAAAATACATCTCCTTCCTTCATGGACCTTACATTCTAGTAGGGGAGATGTCACAGATAACTACAATACAAAACAGAGTGTGATCAGTGCTGTAAGAGCTACATAATCCTGGGGGGAAAGGATCATTTCCAGTGGCGGGTGGAGAGGTAGAGTCATGGAAGACCTCTTGGAGGAGGTGGCACCTAACTTATGCTTTGAAGGAGGGGAATAATTTAGATAGGAAGTAGGGAAATAAGTTAGATTGGAAGTAGGGGGAGCCTTCTATGTTTGAGGGATAGCATGAGGAAGGATGAGAAGGCAACAAGATACATGGTGTATTTATGGAGTTGAGAGCATGCAGAACTATCTGGATAGGCTAAGTCAGAGAATGGCTGTTATCAGTTAGTGGGGAAGGTCTTAACTGATAACAAAATGATCATTTCCATAAGATATACAAAGCCAGGGAGAAGAAAAAAGTGCTGTCCTTTTAAACCTTGCCCTTCTTGGGAGCTGTTATTCCCCTCACCTCACCGGTCCAGTAGTAGTTTCTATATATAATGCAGTTTCCTTTTTCCTTTCCTTCTGTAGCCCTTTTGTTCCTTACATCTCCATCTGCAGCTCTCAGAAAACCCATATTCATCAGGACGAATCTCCAGCAAAGACACAGCCCCTGGGCTGGTGGTAGCCACAGGTAAGGATGATGCTCCTTCTTCCATTTCACGGACCATTTCCTTGAAACAGTGACAGCAGTGACAATAGTGGTGATGATGATAATTATGAATTATAATCAAAGCTCACTTGTATCTAGGGAGCTTCAAGTTTATAACTATTTTTCCATCCCTTATCTCATGGAATCCTCAGAAGTACATTGCGTTAGGGTAACGCTATAAAATTGTCATTTTACAGATAAAGAAATGAATGATGAGAGAGATAGAATGACTTGCCCAAAATCACACAGCAAGTTAGTAAAAAAGGAAGATCCAAACCCAGATCTTCTTATTCCTAGACCATTTTTGCTTTGTCCCATTTCTTCTCGGTGCATGTAATTGAGGGTCCCAGAATATCAGAATGTGTAAGCAATTGTAATAGCCCAATCATTGTTATATGATATCAGGATCATAGGTTGAGAGCTGGGAGGGACCTCAAAGTCCATCAAGACTAATGCCTTCAAATTACAGATTAGGAAAATGAGGTCTAGATAGATTAAGAGATTTGCCTGAGGTTAAAAATTTGCAAATGACAGAGCTGTGTTTAGAGCCTAGGTCTTCTGACTAAATCCAGCACCCTTTCCACTGTTCCACACTGTATATAATCATGGTCATCAGAATTTAGCAATAGCATATCTAACTACTAAAGACAAAGACTAAAACTGTATTTATATAGGTGTTCCCCCTTTAATAAAACCCAACGTAGGAAAACCTCAACTTGTAAAGTGTAAATTAGAGATGATTACTCATCTTATAAAAAAGATTCTTTTTAATGTTATTTAACTAACAAGCTCCTTTGAAATCTTAGTTTGCAAGTGATTAGCAATTTGATGGACAATTTGGGAAGAAGAGGTAAAGAAATATAAGGTTAAACTGAAAATCACTAGAGTGCTTGATGTTTACAAATTGTTTTATATGCATGATCGTTTGATTCTCACAGCAAGGTCATTTTGCAGATTTAGAGAAAAAAAAAACTTAGTCTCAGGGTGGCAAAGGCACTGTCAGAGCAGAAATGTGAACCTAGTTGTTGTGACTCCAAGGCAAGTACTCTTTCTGCTAAATGATACCAGTAGATTTCACCTTTCTTGGGGATCCCTGGAGGGTCTTTGGGCTACAATGAAGTAATATGACCTAGCCTGGCATGGACAGCATATCCAAATGTGAGAAACTGGACGTCCTTGGAAAAAATCTTTCCTTTGGATGAAAGCTTCTAAATCTCATCTCAATGTTTTTGAAAATTTTGTTTTTACTCTTTGCTTTGGAAGATCAGTCTACACCTCTAGCTTGTTATCAGATATGCAAAGGGGCTATACTTAGGATTTCATTGGTACAAGGTATTCAGGAGGATGAATGAGGAAACGCCCTCTACTAATGAAGGTCAGCATATTATCTGCAACTTAAAGTCATAGAGAGGAGTTTAGAAAGCCCTGAGAGATTAAATGACTTTCCCAGAGTCATGTAGGGTACCTCAGCTGTAAATTGTGAGGGAGTTGGACTGGATGATCTTTGAGATTTCTTGCAAAATCTAACACTGTCAGTCATCCCTACCACCTGCTGACCAACTTCCACCTGTGGGGCAAGTAGGCCAGCCTAGCAGGCATATTGGAACATTGTGGGTACCACCATTGCTCTTTTGACCATTACCTCCCCTTGGACTATAGGGGAGAAAACCTAGGTCCTTGTGTCTAGGAGCCAGGAATACTCTAAGACCCTCAGCTCTGCTCCCAGTTTGGGCCCCTCAGTAGACATTGAGGGGATCCTTTACTATGAAGAGGGGCTCTCCTTCCTTGCTACCACTGCTACCAACTGCCACTGACTAGCAGGTATGCCCAAGAGCCTCAGGAATGGCACCCACCAGACCACAGAAGCTGCCTCCATCTCAGCCCCTATGGCTGTTATCCCAGGAATTAACCCCCATGGAGGTGGGGCCTGGCAACCATCTCTATAGGCACTAGAATCACAGCTGCCAAAAAGAAAGTTCTGTCCACAAAAGTCATTGACCTTGTCAATGAAAAGGTCATTAAAGAAGAGGCATCACCTTCTGTTTTGCTGCTGCACCCTGTTGGCCATGAAATCTTTATATCTGACTTGCCCCTGAAACCTTCTATATGTATTATCTCCCCCATTAGAATATGATCTTCTTGAGATTAGGAATGGTATTACTTTTCTGTTTGTATCCCTAATGCATAATATAGTGCTTTGCACTTAATAAATACTTTTTCCCCCCTTCCTTCCTTTCTTCCTTCCTTCCTTCCTTCCTTCCTTCCTTCCTTCCTTCCTTCCTTCCTTCAAACACTATTCACTCAGAATAATGTACTGATAATTAAGGTCCTAGAATTAGTTCCTAGATTTAATGCCAGTGAATTCTGTGACTTTAGGTAGTTGACCTAACCTTGAATTTCTGCTTTCTGCCTGTGTGACATTGAGCAAATTATATAAAACTCTCTCTGCCTCAGTTTCTTTATCTGTAAAATGAAAGAGTTGGACTAGACCTCTAAGATTCTGTCCAATTCTGTAGGACCATTGTTGCCCTCATTTTCCCCAAGCAAACTCTTTTAAGTTTCAGAAAAGGTATTAATCTACCTGGGTAGAATAGTCTCACCTGAAGTACACTGATGAAAGCACAGGTTTGGTAAAAAAAAAAAAAATCAACCCCAATCTCTATAAATCTCTATTTTCACCAAAGAGATAGTCAATATTTACCTCATACCAAGATAGATATTTATTTGTGCCCATGAGCCTGGAGATCTTAAGAAAATTCAGCAGTGAAAACCTGAAATGACACCCTTCTCATCCTGCCTCAAAGTCATTCTCACAAAACTCTCCCATATGTTTCCTAAGGTTACTTCAAAGCTATATATATAAAATATGGACTCAGTGATTCACCTATGAATTCTAAAATAACTCAAAATTCATTCTTTGCTTAAAGAAAACCCTTTCATGAATATGCACTGTACATAGCTCAGAATATCAACATCTCAAAGTTATTTTTTCTTCCCTGTATTTTGAGTTTAGGATTAATGGATTTGATGATATGCCACAGGGAGTCTGGGAGGAATACATTGTTTGCATTCAAAAAATGGTTTGCAAATTCTGGATTAAAAGCTAGAGTTGGAATCATTGGAGTTTGTCTCCAAACCTACTCCCAACTTCTTTCCTGGCAGATACTGTCATGGCTTACTTGTGGCAAAGTTGTAGTGTGAGCAAAGTCTCTGGTTGCCCTGGACCTCCTATTTTGCATTTTTTAATTTCTTCAAGAAGACTCCCTCCCTATTCCCCCTACCCCTACACACACACACACACACACACACACACACACACACACACACACACACACACACTCTCTCTCTCTCTCCCTCTCTCTCTCACCAGGGCTCACTGCTTTCTTGATCTTTTCACCTTTCTCTTATAGCCAAATCTATACCTGTGTGAGGCTATTCTATGTCAGTAGTTTCCACTTGAGTATGAATTTCAGGGACGTGCCATTTCCTCGGGAAATCTACATCATCTGCCTTCTCTCTTAACAATGGAAGAAAAGTCTGTGTCTCCCTGGAAATAGAATGTCAGGCAGCAACAAAAAACAAACTGGGGATCCTACAGTATTACGCTCCCTAGGTAACTAGCAACCCTATCTCTACCTACATTTGCCCCTGGCCCTATAAAACTAAGCATCCCCATTCCAGTAAGGGTTATGGATACCTCAGTTCTGGAAAAAGTTAACTAAGTCCCAACCCAAGACAATGTGATTTAGAGCAGGAATGTTAAGATTGTCACTGTGGGTGATTAAACTTCATTAGTGTTCCAATTAACCTTTAAAAGGTAGTCACTCTTTTCCTCTCTCTTACTTCACAATATATAACCTGTAGGGAATAGATGCATCTCCTTCCTTTAACTAATGTACCCAGGTATTTTGGCTGATCCTTATCACCTCTGCCACTTCACCTGCTTAGAACATGGATCCAAAATAGCCTTTCTCTGAGCCATGCAAGATATTTCTAGCAAAGATGGGCTAACAGGCCATTTTCTGAGGTAGGGCAAGGTGCTGTGGTATTTAAAGATATTGATGGAGACACTCTCATCTCTTCTGTTATGTTGGAATTAGACCTGGATTTAGAAGAAGAGGATATGGATTAGAATGCCAACCTTGTTTGTGTGATCTTGGGAAAGTTTCTGAAGCTCTCTGGACCTCAGTTTCCTCATTTGTAAAATAAGGGGGTTGTCTCTTTTAGCTCTAAAATCTTAAACCCTAATAATCATATCTTAACAAAAGGGAAGAATAAGATAAACTGACTGCTGTCTTCTTGCTCTGAATTCAGAGCAAAACTTTTCAGATGTGTTGATTTCTGTGATTGTGAACATCAAGCCCAGCAGAGACATGTGAAGGGTGAGGTAGAACCAACTCCCCAAATCCCACCCAAATGCCCTTAAAGATTAACCCACATTTCTTACAACATGATTTCCTGACAAGTAATGCAAGCATTATCCCCATTTTTTTTTTTAGGCAATTGGGGTTAAGTGACTTGCCCAGGGTCACACAGCTAGTAAGTGTCAAGTGTTTGGTCTGAGGCCAGATTTGAACTCAGGTCCTCCTGATTTCAGGGCCGGTGCTCTATCCACTACGCCACCTAGCTGCCCCCATTATCCCCATTTTCAAATGAGGAAAATGAGACCCACAAAAACAAATGACTTGCTCATCATACAAATAGCAGATGTCAGAGGCCAGGATGGCATTCAGATCTTCTGAGTCCCAACCCAGTGTTCTTATCACTACATAGTTCTTATCACTATAATGTTTTTAACACCATGACACACTGAATTAGGAGTCAAGATATAACACAAGAGACAGCATTGGTGGAGTAAAAAGGAAGTGGATTGAGAATCAGGATGTGGATTTGAATTCCTGCTCTGTTATTTATTTTCTGTACATCTTTAGGCAAATCATTCTCAGTTTCCTTACCTGTAAAATAAAGGAGTTATACTAAATAGCCTATGAGGTCCATATTCCCTGGGAAACAAGGGCTCATCTAACATGCCAGACGTCTGTCTTTTTGGGGGAGAAAGCAGGGGTTAGTGAACAGAACTCTGTCTTTGGAGTCAGAGGAACTTGGGTTCACATCTCATTTCTGACATTACCTGTAGGACTTTGGACAAGTTGTTGAACTTCCCTTGGCTTCAATTTCCTTGTCTATACAATGAGGCAGTTATATTTGATGACTTTTGAGGTTCCTTCCAACTTGAAATCTATGATCTTATTACCAGATATTCTCTAAGGTCCCATCAATTTGAGCTCTGGTTTTAGATCAGCCATTAATTCTGTACGCAAGTTGTATCTGCCCCAGACAATTACTAGCTGAGTGACCCAACTCTCCTTACAGAAAGCTAAGTGGTACAGTGGAAAGAGTGCTGTACTTGGAATCAGGAACACCTGGGTTCAAATACTACTCAAACACTTAGCTTTGCAACCTTGAGCAAGTCATTCAACCTCTTTCAACCTCAGTTTCTTCCTATGTAAAATGGAACTAATAATAGCACTTGAAGGGTTATTGTGAAAAGCAAAAGAACTAACACATACAAAACACTCTATAAACCTCAAAGAATGGCATAAATGATAACTATTGTTATTATTATTATTATTATTATTATTATTATTATTATATTATTTCCATCCTCAAGCCTTGGTTTCCTCACTTGTAGAATGGAGATGAGAACATTTTCAATTCTTGTCAGTAAAGCAATATGTAAACAATGTGAGCTGTTCTTCGTGGATGGTTGGGTGGGCATTGATGAGCATATATTCAAAATGAAGGCTTAGACTAAGTGATCTCTAAGGCCCCTTCTCAGCTCTGTAATTCCATGGAAAGACAGCTTTCCCCAAAAGATCAGTAGCTTCTCTTTTCTTCAGTGATGTCTTCTCCAATCCCCAGTGAGGAGAATGGGATCATTTACTCTAGACACAAACTCTTTGGAGCTGTTCAACAGCAGGAGCCTGTGTCTATCCCTCCTTCATGTGGGATCCATGTTCTAAGCAGGTGATCTTTGATCACTTACCAACTCCACTGCTTACAGAACCTGGGGGTTATTTTTGGAAGCTTGCATTTCAAAATAAGTTGACTAGTTGTGCACTCTCTAATGCTGATGGGGGTTTGAGTAGCGGAGGTAGTAGCGGAGCTTTAATTTATCATTTTGGAGCATTAAATGTCAGAAGCTCAATTAACATTTTCATTATTGCCTTTTTATTGTACTCTTATTTAGGTTACAGATGTGTAGGAGCTAACATTACTTTCCTGATATTTTTAAAGAAAAAAATGCCAACCACTGCAATACATTTTCACATGTATATATGCTTTTTTTTCTTTTTCCACACAGATGTGCCCCCCTCCCCACACATATGTACCCATTGACTTTGGTTCAAAGGTGGATTTGGTCTGAGGAACTGGGATAGTTCTATTCATTCAACAAACATTCATTTAACACTGTGCTGAAAAAAATGCAGATTATGGTTAAAGATGACTCCATATACATTATATTATTTTATTCTCGCAACAGTGCTATGAGTTAAAAAAAAATGAAGACTTTCTGTTTTATAGATGAAAAAGCTAAATCACTTGACCAAAGCAGTCCTGGAATTCAAACCCAGGTCTTGTAGCTTCACATCTGGTGCTCTCCATGTTGCCTATCAAAATTGAACTGCACGGAGTACATAGTCCTTTTCCCCACTGAGAGGATGGAGTGGTGGTGGAGAACACAAAACTCCCAGAAGCAAAGATGATGGAAGGCAATGGGGTATATGAAAGTTATGAGGAATGAGCAGCAAGGGGTATATTTTCAGTTTTCTTTCAGACTAATGACCCAGGTAGCTTCTGATTGGGTGATCAAATAACAACCCATAGATGACTATTCTCAGTCCTAGGTGCTATGTAAGGAGCAAAAATAAAGCAGAGCTTTTATAGAGCTTTCAAGAGTTAACATACACATGCTGAGACTTAAGGAAAATGAAAGTCATTGGTGTGAGCAGGCTGCTTCAAAATCTAATGTAATTTAAGACTCTAAGAGAATGAAGTAGAATCTCCAGCTTTATTGTGCCCCAGTTGGGACACATCTGGATCACTATGTTAAGTTCTGAATGCCACATTTTAAAAGGAAATCAACAGTCTGAATATTATCCAGGAAATGAAAAATAGGACACTGAAGGAACTCAAAATTATATCATACAAGGAAGAACTGAAGCAAATGCCTTTTGAATTAAAAGGACTACAGATGTTCAAGAAGTGGTGTGGTGCACCTGATAGAGAGTTGGCCTTGGAGTCAGGAAGACCTAGACTCTAGTCCTGCCTCTCACATTGTACATAATAATGTGAGACTTTAGAGAGGCTCTGTGACCCTGGGCAAGTCAATTTACTTCATAGTGTCTCAGGTAACTCTCCAAGAGTATCAGTGGTAAAGCAGGTGGTGATGTGCGATGGTGGAGAGAACTGATTGCTGAGGGCTCCCTACACTGATAAAATTACGGGTCTGGTTTAAAAAAATTTTAATTAGATGATTAAAGAGGAGAAAGAGGGGAAGGGGGCAGTGAGGAAAGAGACAAAAAAATCTCAACGAGAGGAGCAAGTAGATTAGTACTGTATGGTTCCACAACATAGAATTGGGGCCAGTGGGTTAGAGTGGAAAGGCATAAAATTCCAGTACAAAAAAAAAAGCTTATAGTTTTCCTTTTTTCTTAGTAATATTTTATTTTTTTCCAATTACATGTAAAGATAGTTTTCAACATTAATTTTTGTAAAATTTTGAGTTCCAAATTTTTTTTCCCCTTCCTCCCTTCCCTCCCATTCTTTCTCCCCGAGACAGAAAGCAATCTGATATAGGTTATACATGTACAATCATGGAAACATTGCCACATTAGTCGTGTTGTGAAAGAAGAATCAAAACAAAAAGGAAAAACCACAAGAAAGAAAAAAACAAAGTAAAAATAATATGCTTCAATCTATATTCAGACTCCATAGTTTTTTCTCCGGATGAGGTTAGCATTTTCCATCACGGGTCTTTTGGAATTATCTTGAATCATTGTATGCTGAGAAAGAGCTAAGTCATTCACAGCTGATCATCATTATAATATTGCTGTTGCTATGTACAATGTTTTCCTGGTTCTGCTCACTTCATTCAGCTTCAGTCCATACAAGTCTTTCCAAGTTTTTCTGAAATCCACCTGCTCGTCATTTCTTATAACATAATAGTATTCCATTACATTCATGTACCACAACTTGTTCAGCCATTCCCCAATTGATGGGCATCCCTTCGATTTCCAATTCTTTGCTACCACAAAAAGAAGAGCTTATAATTTTCAAGCAGTTTGTAATGGTACATACATGCTTACTGGCTAAGGAAAATAAGTCTTTGGTGGTATAGGGCTCCTTTAAAAGCGAATGTACCTTAAAGCACTCAGAAAGAAGTAAAGCCTCACATTTTATTCTGCTTTTATTGGGAAACCCCAAATTGTCCTGGGGGTTCTGCCTTGGCTGTCCCATAGTGGAATGGATTGCTTCATTAAGTCATTCAGTCCCTGTTGCAGGATATATGTTAGTAGAGGCTGGATAGTTACTGATTAGGGAGGAGATGCTTGCACAGGGCCTAATATTGACCAGTCTAACCAACTCAAGATTCTGCAATTCTATGATCCAAAAGAGCTAAATATATACAAAATCTCCATTGACTACTTGGAAACTCCAAGTCTTAGAGTAATGTGACATTTTCCTGACTTTTTTTTTTTTACTGGAGCCTATTTTTCCTTTGCACATTGGGTTTCCTTTCCCACCATGTGCTGTGGTTCTCAGATAGAAAAATCAAAACCAAACAAAAGCTGTTCAGTACATTACTCTCTATAAACTAATTTACTCTCAAAGCTGCCTCATGCTTCTCAAATGATTTGCTTTTATTTCAGGTAATGTGGGCACAGAACTCTCCTACACGGAAGTTGGCATGTTTGTCTCTTCTGATGGTGGAAATACCTGGAGACAGGTAACTTGGGGAAGGGCAGAGGGAGGCATGTCTGTATCTGTCAGTAGCTACAACCATTGGCTGTGGGTTCTCAAATTGCATAGGGATCTTAGGTGAGGACTGCACAATGCCCAAATGTTGGCTCCTTTGGATCAGTTCAGCAGAAAAACCAGGCAAACTGATTGTAGGGGTCAGTGTGCTGTATGTGGCTTGAAAATATGTCAGAAGATCTCGGTTCTAGTTCTGAATCTGCCTTAGCTCTGGAGACTTGGAGGAGTCACTTTACCTCTAGCTTCAATTACTTCCTCTGTGAAATAAACGTTTAGACTAAATGATCTCTAAGCTCCTTTTTTAGATTTAATTTTCAACAATTCTATGGCTATTCTGGTGTTACATAAACACAGCCTTAGAGTGATTTTAGACCAGTTGAATAATTGGCCCAAAGAGCCATGAATTATGGGTAGGTGTGTGTTTTCCATTGATTGGTGATATTAGACAACGGCCAAGGGATTCCCTTTTTAGATCAGTTCATATTTGGGGACAGTAGTATAAAGCATTGTCAATAAGCTTTGATGAGCTCATGCTACATGTAAAGCCTGGTTCTACGTGCTGTGGGGAATGCAGAGATGTGATCTTTGTCCTTAAGAAGTGAATGATGTTATAGTGAGGATTAGGAAATGGGACACAAGTAGCACAAAATAGGTGGCAATGCAAGGCAGAGAATAGCTAAATTCTGCGTGAACCTGCCCTTGTCTGAACATAATAGCCATCAGTGTAGATTAGATAGAAGAAAAGGATGTGGACTGGAGGAATAAAACTTGCAGAAATCTCCAAGCTATACTGTATAGAAAGCCTAGGTTGAATCTTCATACGCCTGAAAAGCCTCTCTAAAGTCAAATACACTTCTGAGTGAATTTGTTGAGTGCTCACATTGACTGAATAATTCTAATTCTCCTCTTCCTTCTCCTCACCCCTGCCCCTGCCTGGTTTTTTTGTTTTCAGATCTTTGATGAAGAGTATAACATTTGGTTCTTGGACTGGGGAGGAGCTCTTGTGGCCATGAAACACACATCTATGCCCATCAGGCATCTGTGGTAAGGACAAATCAATACCCCAGTGGAGAAGGTTCTTTAATAGAGTTGGATTGGGCTGTTCAATCAATATCATTTCATGCAAATGGTCAGAGTTGGGTTCTGGGGGACCACTTCACATATGTCTCCACTGCCTACAAAGCAGATGCTATTCCTGACCCAGTACCTGAAAAATTCCAACAAACTCATATAGAGTAATGTCTTTTTCATTTAATAAGCTTTTGTCATGCCAGGGTTTGAGGGGTAATGGGACAAGATGAACCAAAACAGGGAGTCTTTATAGATGTTAATGAGGCTAGCGGGTACTTTAAATCAAGTGGCCAAAAAGTGAAGTGAAGAGTAGTCAAAGAGTACTGAGAGAAACAGGCAAACACTATGGGTCTAGTCATAGGCAAAGTCCAGAGTCCAAGGGTTGAGGCATCAGGGATTGAGATCTCAGGCCAGGAGACTGGAGCACAAAGGTTCAGGAGCCCAGGTCAGAGAGTCTGAGCCACAAGTCATGTCAAATCAATAAGTATCTATTAAGCAACTTACTATGTGTCAGGCACTGTGTTAAGCATGAGAAATATAAGGGCAAGCTGGAAAAACAAACAAATAAACAGTCCCTGCTCTTAAGGACCTCCCAGTCTAATGGAGGAAACAAGATCCAAACAACTATGTATAACCAAACTATATACAGCATAAGTTGGAGATAGTCATCAGAGGGAAGGCAGAAGCCAAAAAAGGTCAGGATCTATGCAAAGGTTTCTGAGTAACAGGGTTAGGACCTTAGAAGCAAAAATGAAACCTGATAACTAAGCCAATCACCTTCTGAGAGGGACACGTTATATAGCCTTGGTCCAGAGTGAGAGTTGGTAAATCTGAATCCATGAGTGAAACTTAGTAGGGACATCTGAATGGAATGGGGGCAGGAGGCAAGGAACCAATGAATTTCTTATAATTTACCTAATATCTATTGTGCTCAGAGATCTGTGCTTACACACTATAGTGGTAGCAGTTGTGGTGAGGAGGGATAGAATGAAGAAAAACATTCTATACCCACTCTTGGGGAGTTTTTATTTGTGTGGGGAGATCCGACTAGATTACATGAAACAATTAGAAAACAAAAGTTAGTGTTTCAAATGTCATCATGCTGTATTCTTAAATGATAGTACGAACTAGCATGAAAACACTTATCATCCTGGATGAGTTCTATTACCTCATCCAAGTGAACTTTATCCTGTGATATAATGATAATAGCCCAGTCATTGCCAGAGATCTTTGAAACATCATGGAGAACAAGAAAGGTGCTGCAGAATTATAAAAGATAAGTATTGTCCTTCTTCCTCTCCCCTTCCTTATTCCACCCACCACAAAAAAGGGAAGAAAATGGAATTTACAGACTCTAGGCCAATGAACTTGATTTCCCTTCCTAGTAAAATTCTAAAATGTATTATTTAAGAAATTGTTAGTAAAAATCTAGAAAGGAAGCATTAATCACAAAGACATAGCATAGCTTTATTTTTAAAAACAGATCTCAGTTTTATTTATCAATTAAGTGGTAGATTATTTTTAACATTCATTTCTGTTAACCTCTTTGATTTTCAGAATTTATACTTTGATAATTAATTGAAGGCTTTACATTCATCACTTTTCTAGTTTTTTAAATCTTCATGCCCAATTCATTGATTTGTTCTTTTATTTTGTTAATGAAAATATATGTATGTGCAATATATGTGCATGTATACATACATGTATATTATCTATACACATATATGTGTATCTGTGTGTACACATGCACATATATTATATATGTGTGCGTGCATATATATGTGTGTACATGCATATGTGTGTATGTATGTGTGTGTGTGTATGTGTGTGTGTATATATATATATATATATATATATATACATAATTTTATATTCCCCTAAGGACCACTTTAGTGATATCTCATTGCTTTTGGTTTATTGATTCATTGTCATTTTTACTGATGGAATGTTCTATTGTTTCTATTTGGTTTTGATCCACAAATTCTTTGTGTTTATTTAATTTAGGTTCCAATTAATTTTTAATTCTTTTTTTCAAAGGCCTTTTTATTTCATTGATCAGTAAAAGATATGTTTAGTATTTCTTCTTTTCGATATTTGTTTGTGAGGTTTTTGTACCCTAATGCCTGGTCAGTTTTTGTAAAGGTACTACAGCATGGTTATATAGGCACAGGTCATGCCAGATCAAACTGATTTAATTTTTTTGCAATTATTTGACTAACCAGGCTAATGCTGAAGATATAACTTGACATATTTTTCACAAAGCAGCTGATAAAGTTTCTCCTCTATTTTTTTGAATGAGAGAGAGAGAGAGAGAGAGGGAGGGAGATTCAGTGATAGCACAATTAGATGGACCCAGAATTGCTTGAATTGTTGGACACCAGAGAGTAATCATCAATGGACTTGCAAGGATGTCTGCAATGGAGTGCTTCAGTAATCTGTGCTTAGCTGCCTAGCATTATTGTGAGCGGGGAGGAAAGTTAGAGGGAAATAAGCATTATTAAGTGTTTACTACATGTGAGACACTTGATCCTCACAGCAATCCTGCAAGGCAGGTACTGTGATTATCCCCATTTTACACATGAAGACACTGAGACAAACAAGGGTTAAATAAATTGCCTAGAGTCCCACAGGTATAAGTGTCTAAGGCTGCATTTGAACTCAGGTCTTCCTGACTTTGGGACCAGCTCTCTATCCACTGTGTCACCCAGTTACTTCAATTTAATTGTTATTCAATGTTCTTGTTTATGACTTGTTTTAAGGGCATACTTGGGAAGTTTGTGAAATATGTAGATGTACAAAGGTGGATAGAACAGCCAATTCACTGGATGATAGAATGAGGATTTTAAGAGATCTTGACAGGCTAGACCATTTGGTTTTATCTAATAAGATGAAATAGAATGGTAATAAATACATTCATATTGTTGGATTCAAAAGATTGACTTTAAAAGAACATTATGGGGGAGCACAGATAGTAGTTTGTTTGAAAAAAAGTTTTATGGTTTTTAGTGGATTACAAGCTCTATATGAATTAACAGAGTACCCAAGGAAGCTGATATGTTGCAATAAGAGGAGCATATCCAGAACCATAACTAGGACATTTTGCAGCCATGGAAAATCTCCAGGGCAAGTGGTATGAAGAGACCTCAGTTGAACTAGGGTGGAGGAAGAGAATGAAATTGGGGTAGGAAGAAAGGAATTCATCCAACTGGCATAATAGCTTCCTATTTTAACTGAATATTCTTAATAATTATGTGATGAGTCCCATTGTTTCAATGTCGCCTAAGGACTATGCCATGAATGCCTTCTAAATTTATACCTTGGCTTTGGGTATAACCCCCAGAAATAAGAAGGTGAAAGTCTTATACTCTGCTTTTGTCAGATCACATCTGGTGTATTCTCTTCAGTTCTGGTTGTCACATTTTAGGAACAACATTGATAAAGTAGAGAGTGCTTAGAAGGGGGCAACCAGGTTGGAGAATTACCTTAATCCATGACATGTGAGAATCAATTGAAGAAACAGAGATGTTTAGCATTGGGAAGAGAAGACTTCAGGGAATGATAGTTATCTTCAAATATGGGAAGGAGGAACTAAACTGGTTCTGGTTGGCCCTAGAGACCAGAACCAGGAGCAATGGGTAGAGATTGCAAAGAGACAAATTTGAGGTTGCTATAACAAAAAAAAAAATCCTAACAATTAGAAAGATCTGAAATCAGAGTGGGCTGACCATGGTGGAGGTCATCAAGTGTCAGCTGGAAGATATTTATCAGATCTTTAGAGAAGACTATTCTTTTCCATGTGTGGGTTCCTCTAGATGACCACTGAGGCCTTTCCCACATGCTCTAGAAACACCAAGTTAGGTATGTAGCAGGCAAAAGGTAGGGTCACTTAGGGAAATCTGCTTGAGAAAGGTTGGCCTTGAGGCAGGTTTTAAAGGACATCACAAATTCCAGTTTGTGGTCAAGAGACATTCCAGCCTTTTAAGAGCTCTGTATTAATTAACAATAATAATAAGATTCTGGGATGCTTTTTGTCTAAAGATATCTCAGAGAAACACTGTATTCTGATAGGGGAAGGGAAGGAGGAAGGAAGGCAGGTAGGATCCCAAGACCTCAGGTCTTCAGCCTACTTGTTCAGTCCCCTTGGGAATCACTCCCTCAGCTTTGCCTTCTGTAAAGTGGGATAATCATTAGCAGCAGCAGCTGACTTTTCAGAAAGTGTGTGGGGGGAAGATTAATGAGAGAGATGCTTGCAATCCCTTGAGCCTTTAGTAATAAAGGTGCCAGATCAACTCAAGGATGAGCTGTTATTTAAAACCAGTTCAATCTGACAATTAAAAATCCCAGACCTTTAGGGAATGCAAATCCCCCGTGAGATTAGCTGAATATGGAGATGATGGAACAGGAAACCCTTTTAAAGAATGTCTTTCAATTTCACTTGCTCTGTATTTTATGTTATGGGAAATACAGGGAAGCGTAAGACTGGTGTTGCCCTCTAGACTCTATCGCTTTAGATGAAGCTATCAAACAGATTCACCAAGTACAAGATAGCGTGCATGTACCCCATGAGCGCTTACTGAAGTTCCCAGCACTTCTGACTGGGATGATCAGGGAAGGGTGCATAGTCTAGGTGACCTCGGAAGGATGGGAAGGTTTCCATAGGCACAGATGGGTGGATGGGGTTTTCTGGGCAGAAAGAACAACATGAGTGAAGGAGCAGACACTCTCCCACCTTTCTCCAAATCATCCTCCATAGAGGTGCTAAGACAGAAAGATCAGCATAGATCATGTTCTTTCCTTGCTCAAAATTTCGGTCACTCCCTATTGCCTTTAGAATAAGAAATAATATTTTATTTGTTAAATAGTTCTATTTATGATTTTTTATAAAATATCTCATAGAAATATATATGAACAAATATTTATTTAAAATTAAAAATAAAACAAATAATAGTATTATGTAATTTACTATTATTATT